TTTATTTCTCGTGTTCGTGTCCACCTTTCCTGTGTGGTTGGCATTTACATCATCATGATTGCCAATTCCGTTTACCCCTGCAAAACAATTAAGATTTACACTTTTTTAAATGCTATAATATGAACATTAAATCGATTCAAATCAAATGATGGTTGAAATTTCAAAGGCAGTAGGTTGCATTGAATAAAAAGACAGTGGAAACCCGCCCTTAGACCAACCCGTTTATGCAACCACTTTGCCATTACGATCGTGTTCTTTCGGACCAAACGAGAGAAAAACAAAAAACAAAAAACAAAAAAAAGAAACACTCAGTTTCTTATGTAAAAACGTACGCTCGCCTGATCACGTTTTGATGGCCCTTGAGTGGTGCCACCATTAATGGCTTTGGTCAGTTACTGTCAATTCTCTAAGTGACAAATCACTAAGAAACCAATCTGAACTTGTTAAACCAGTATAAAAAACGATAAAAATGTAACAAGAATAGCTACAAAATGAATGCGCACTGACCTTGAAAATATCGTCTACCTCTTCGAACTTTCAGAGCAATAACTCTATTTCTAAGACACTGCAAGATAAAACAAATAACATATTTTATACATGGAAAGCATGGAAGGTATTAAAACGTGCATTGCGTGGCCTGGGGGGGATCCGCATATGAAAGTGGTGGGGATGCTCGTCGTCTCGCTTAGCGGTGTAAATTTCGGATTTTGGTCTCATTTAGGGTGTTCTGGGCAAAACGCCATCATATTTAGCCGTGAAGGTCTCGTTTAGGGTAGCACGCGAAAAAAGATAAAAATATATATTTCATATGTATATTTTTAATTCGTTTTATTTACTCCATTCATATCATTCAAGTTTTCTCATTTGTCTATGTTTCAACATGGTCTCCTTTAGGGATCAAAAAAAGCTTAGGCCACGCCCAGATCGGTCTCCTTTAGGGGTTTAATTTGAAATTTCCGAAGAGCATCCCCACCCCTTTCATATGCGTAGTGCCCCCCACCCCCGGGTTTGAAAGTAAGCCTTCTAACTGATGATCTCATCGCTATCACTTCGCATTTCCATAAGGTAATAGACTGTTGACAAGAGCTGTCAAAATAAACCATTCAAAGGGTTTACCAGATCTGGTTTACCGGAAGGATCCAGAAGGAGCTTTTGTTAAAAAGTACATGATTACAGGGGTTGCTACGGCTGTCACTCCGTACCCCTTCCCCTCATTGTTTTTCCTGCTCACTTCTTTTTCAGTATGCTCTTTGTACTGTCCACACGAGCTAAACGCCACGGGCCCGGACGAATTTTTACCTGTGCAACCCGTTTAGAGGGAACGTGCAAATTCCCCATAGATTGCAATACTGTTTGCAGCTCAAAAACTTTACGGTTCCGTGGGTCGCAAGTAAAGAAAAGGCGGATCCGTGCAAGTTTTTGGCAGTTCAAAAATTTTTAATAGGGGTCTGTGTGTTAACTCGAGTTTTGACATCTTCTACATCTCTTCGTCACTGGATTTGTCAAAAACACTCTCACTACGGCGTTTAACACAAGCAGAATCCATGTTCAGAGTCCTCACATTTAGAGTAATTGTTAAGGTCTTGCCTTAACTTCAGAGGAGGCACTGATGACAGAAACGGAATTTATACATCTGCTACGGAGGTAATTTCCAACGCCATTTCGTTTGTTAATCCTTTCCACGTCGCTGTTGCAAAAATGCGCGCGCGAGTCACACAAGATGGCACAAAATGTGCTAAAAATAGTACATTTAATGGCTATGATATATATTTCGATGAGGTCAGCCCCATCCCTGGAAAAGGTATCCAGTTACGGTCTACTACCCTGACTTATATATATATGGCTCCTGGTAGAGTATAAAAAAGTAATTTTGTGCAATTTTGCAGCGTAATTAGCGTTGCTAGATAACTCTGTCCGCCATCAGAAGCCCGTAAACCACAATAAATAAAAATGTATAAGTAAAGACTACACATCAATATTAATATTAATAATTGTAAAAATTCTAGTATGAGCCATTAAAATTGTTGAATGACCTTCTTCACCTTAGACACTCGTGTCAGTCAAGTTTGAATCGATGTCCGCCATTTCGAATTTTGTTCAAAAAAAACCTCTGACCTAGCAGCCCGGCTGCATCTTGCGCCCATCATCTGCCCCCAAGGGGTGAGGATCTGGCTCCTTTTTCATAGGAAATTCATAAATTGTCTACTAAAACACTGTGCAATATGGAAGCAAGGCCAATTTAAGCACTAAAAACTGCTCAGATATCTCAGAATTGGAAGAAAACTAGTAAGAGAAATTGCTCAGAAATTACGCAAAAAGTTGCTTGAAACGAAAAAAGTTGCTCGAAATACTACAAGTTGCCAAAAAGTTGGCAAGCAACTTGTGGAAAGCTCTAGGGAGAAGGGGGAGGGGAGGGGGAGGGGTGGGAGGCTACTCAATAAAGCTTTGTTCGAAGAGGCTTCGCCCCGAGGTCCAGTCCCTTACCCTTAAATATACTACTTTTGACAAAAGGTACCCCTTTCGCGTATCTTCCATTAAAAAGTTGTACCCTTTATATCTGCTTCGTGAGAATAAATCGGTAAGAAAGGAGGTCTTCCGGTTATTTTCGAGTAATCTTAACATGTAAATGATATTGCCATAAGGCGTGTTTCTTCGAAGCATTTTAATAATAGGCTCTTTAAAATACTTAATGAAAGATTGTCCTCTCCTTTCACATACTTTAACTTGTGATTTCCTAGCTACCCTTTGATACACCTGATGCTTGAAAGAGGTACCCTTCGGGCGAAGCCTTCCGGACTATGAAATTGTGCATCAGGAAATCATGAACAGGAGATGAGTGGACCCTCGGACATGGACGGTGATTGAAGACTAACGCAAAAATAAATGATACAAAAAAGAGTCCAAAGAAACGCTAAGACTTATATGGGATAACTCAAAATGAAGTGAATGAAGAGCAAATGAAGACTGAATAAAGTAATGCCAATTGGTCACCTGTTCACCACATCCCATCACTCCGCCGAAAAAAAACGACAACAATTTAACTAAAAGTAGAAAGAAGAAGAAGAAATAGGACTGTAATAGGCCGCTGATAAGCCAGTTTGATTGTTTTTGTTTTTTATCTGTTTGGTAATTCAGCACTTGTGGACAAGGCAGCTACTAGTGCCAGTCCCTCCTGAGTGCTGAATTTTCAAGATGACGTCGCTTTGTTATTTTCTGGTTTCAACCTATCGTTCAGCACTTTTTGCCCTTTGAAAATGTAACCTAGGCAGTATTTCGAGCTTTTTGATATGTCCTTCAGCTGTTAAACATACTTTACAGCGAAATATGAAGGAAAATTCACGAAGAGGACTTAAAACAAACACGAAGGGATCGGCCTGTCTGCAAGAAAAAGCTTGGAAACTATAACAAATGTGAGTTTTCTAATTTCTTCCTGTTTCAATGGCCCAAAATGATTATTAGTGTTTTGGTTACATGGATGATAGTAGACTGCAATTTGGCTGTCAGAGTTGTTCTGTCGTTTTAGTTGTGTGCTGTAGATCAATTCAAAAATGCCCGATTTTTTGTTCGTTTGCAGACACTGAGTTTAGGTCAGATAAAATAAGAAAATTTTAGTCTTGTCCGTGGATACCTAACAAATCTTATGGTTTTAGAAAGTAGTTCTGTGATGTGTTGTATCGCATACAAAAAATAAACTTCGCTCGTTAAATTTGGAGGGTTCTGTGAGTTTCAGAAAATGGTGAAAATTTGCTTATAAAAAAGGCGTCCGAGGGGGTCGAAAAAAGTGATGCTCGTATCTCTAATACAAGAACAGTGAAGAACCTATGTTTGGTATATTTGTCCATTACTCCACCAGACCTTTCTATGATGTTAGTATGAACTTATTCTGTTGACCCCCTTCCGTTGACATTTTTAACATTTTGCCCGGTTTTCTCTGACAACCACTCTTAAATTCACTCCATTTAGCAGCAACCGGTCTTGAAAGAAAATGTCGCAATGAATGGGCCCCATCATATCCACAATATGACTTTCTTTAGTGAAATCATAGCGAATATTTAACCCCTTGTTTGCGGCATCGTCTGCAGCCACAGGGTTGGCAACATCCATTTTTCCAGGGGTATCATTGTAAAACATGGCCATAGAAAGTTGACTTGTTTTTGCTTCTTTTCCGTAGTTTAGCAAGGTTTCGATCATGGCGCGATAAGGGTAGGTATTGGTGGATGGAGAGATCAATCCCTCATTCTAGGAAATGTTCCCTTGCAAAAAAAGGGAATGTAAAAACAGGTTCACGGGACCTACTTGTGTATCAGCATCTATGGCGGTTCCATTTGCTTTTGTGATCTTGGCTTTCACAAATAACTGAGTACGTGCCAAGTCCAAATACTAACCTCCGGTTCCCGAAACATAAAATTCGATCGGACCACTGTCCGTGATGTTACTGATGGGGTGGTACTCGATCCATTGCCCTTTGGTGATAGAGGTTTGTGTTGCAGGAATCGTAAAGAGATCCAACTCTGATTTCGTACATTCATGAGACTCGTGATGCACAAAGGCTATAGTTACTTCCACAAAGAAAATTTCTCTTTGGGCTTCTTTTGGTGCGGAGATGTTTTTGCCTTCTCGCCTGGCTGCGAACTGATTTTGGTTCCTTGCGCTTTTCTTTTTATAGCTTTTTTGCCGGCTCCTGATTGTCCCTGCAACGAGTTCTGGGAAGGTAGACCGAGGGCTTGTCTCGTGCGCTTGTGGACTGCTGTTTTAATGTTATCTCCATCAAGAACATCTTGGACATATTGACTCCTGTTTGTAAAGCCTTTTTTCCAATCACCTTAGCACCCTATTGAAGGTGAGGCATCGCCCAGCGAAGCAGACCTCTGAATATGGACCCTAGTCCATAACCCCGCTGAAATCGAGCACCGTGAAACGCTGGTAACTCCCACCTTTTTGTTTGGCTTGATTAACATAGTACTGCTCGTACAGCTTGTGATTTGGAGTGTGGAGTTTTTTCATCTTAAAAGTACTGAGGTGCACTTTGACGAAAATGAAGTGTTAACAGCACTCTCCCAAACTCAAATGGTACAGACTCGCCTGTGTCTGTGTTTATATCGACTTCGACGGTTTCAAATTGCTTTCTGCTGACAGGTAAATATTGGGGGTGCAAAAATGATTTACTGACTCGCTCCCCGACCTTTCCTTCTACAGGAACAATTCGAAGCAAAGGTGCCAATGCATCTCCAACATATTGTGACTGAATAATATCACAGTAAATTAAAAGGTCGTGAAAGCCGTACTCCAAATCCACTTGTCTTTCAGCGGTAGAGGTATTAGAAATAATTTCTTCTGGTGAAAATCCCAGCAGGAATCCAATGTTACCAAAGAAAAGTTCTACGTTATTTTGTAGGTGAACAGTCACCTTTCTAGTGAACGTATCGTAGGAAAATGTTACATCGTTATTGAAACGCTTTACATTCTCGATCAGCCCTTTCATCTTTGATAAGATATCTTCAATGGAAGAATAATGACCCGGTGGTATAATTAGGACCTCCCATACTCCGGACAATTCTTGGTTCCGAAGGAAGAATCGATTACCAAAATTTCCTTGGACATTATTCCAGCTGTGAGGATAATGAATTTCTGTTAACGCTACTTCCCAGTCCCCCGTCAAGCTAACGGTTTGAGGTAAACCAACATGGTACTCCGTTAATGTGTTGTTGGGAAACTTATCGAGGCTACTATTGCTTGGAAGATGCAGGTAGAACTGTGTTACCTCCATCGTTTCGTGTGTTCAAATGAACATTTATTCCTGGCGTTCATAATTTATAACTATACACAACAACATTTGTTTTCAGTTAAAATAACCCTTTTATTGGCTTCACACAAAATGTCACAACTTTGAGATATTACTCTCTGCTATCCAGCTATTAAACTTGTCTGGGTACCCTTTCCATTTTAAAAAGTATTCAACTACTCCTTTACGCTTTCGCTTGCGCAAAATCTTTTCAACGCGGTACACATCATCGTTCTTAATTATTTTCTGTAATTCGGGTTCATAAAACGTTCCATCTAAGATTTCACCTGCATCATCCTTTAGTTTGTAAACGGGTACTTGACGCACCATTCGTTCGTATACAGTAAACATTTCTTCCGTGAAATTAGGCAGGTAAGATTTTTCAAACATTCGCTTCACTTTGCTGATACTAACACGATCTCCCACTTGAAATTTAAACATCCATTTTTACCATTTTTACCATCATTACCATATAAAGTATCCTACACTTTAGTTTCATTCGCTTTAGTCACCTCACTCCATTAGGCCATTAGGTCCGTCATGTATAGCGCGCAAGACACGACTCTTAATATCACCATCAAAACCATCTACCTCAAGTGAAGCTAGAAATATGCTGGTCCAAGGCATCTTTGGTAGCTCGCTGACGTACACTTTCCATGACTGACCAAGCTTGAAACCAAGAGCCTTACACACTCTTTCAACATTGTTCAGGACGGCATTCAGGTCAATTTTTTCCACCACATCTTCCCGGTAGTACAACCAAGAATCCTCTTTACCCATCATAACACACGAATGTTGTCTTTGACTTGGGTGCTGAATAGCACAGCCGTGACAGCGATTCAACTTTTCTTCTTGAATTAGTTCGTCAACCATATTGGCGTCAGTAAGTTGGAGAATATGGCCGATAAGACTTGCTATCTTTTGCCGTTGAACTTGTTCCACTTCATCAATAGTCAATAAACGCCCAAGTCTCGAATCAACATGAATGTTTGAAACCATCTTGTTTATACTACTGAATTTCGAGAATGATTTGCTTGGTAAGGAATGGCCATTTTATGTGTTTCGAAACAACAGAAAAACTGGCAGGTAAAAAATAAACCCTGACATCATCTTACTTGAATAAATATGACATGATCATGACCAAGTAGGGACATGATACCACTATTCTATTTATAGATTATGATGTCAACATTTTTTGATGGCGTCAACCCTTAGGGTATTCTGACGTCACTTGCTCCTTTCCAGCTAAATATAAACTATGACATCATCCTATCTTAATGGCATGCATGATGTCATCGGCATTAATTTAAACTATGACATCATCCTATCTTAATGAGATGCATGACGTCATCTGCGTTAATTTATACCACTCAAAAAGTTAATTAAATCCACAAAGAACCGGCGTAACCGGTCCCTCCCCTACTACTAAACAAACGACTGTAAAATATAACCGTCATTTACATGAACAATAAAATTTCCTGGCGCAGAATTCAAACAGTGCCAACTCGGCAACAGAATATAAAGCGGGCTGTTAAAACCACTGATCAGAGCGCCGCGATCAAACCACCTGAATTGTAAGTTCTCGGCTCCTTCGATTCAATCCGTGGTTAAAGTTCCTAATTATAATTGATACTACGATGTTCTACATAAAAATGAAGTATGTTATCTTAAAATTTGCAGCTAGTACGCGAAGCGCAAAATAAACAATTTAGTTCGGGATTTTCGTCTCAAATCTCGTCTGTTCGGTACTTGCCTCACCCCTCACTACTGCATCGTCCGTTTCGCCAGTCAACTAACACTCCTACCCACCCCGTAAGGTGAAATTGCTCCTTACTTCGGTCCCGCCGAAAATTCAAATCTCATCGGAAAGAAGTAACCGGTATTGTTGAAATTTGCCGCGCGTAAAAGCTGTTGTTTCATGTTGATCGTTTTTGTCCTTAAAAGGCAAGAAACGATCAAAAATAACAATACAAAACAATACCTATTGTTCTCGAATTCAGGTCGCTTTTCTTGATACGTGTATTCTCGAAGTCCGAACTGACCACTGTGATAATATTTCCTCATTACTTCTGAACACTGAATATTCGTCTCTTTTTCTTAATTTTGCTCGAGTTTTGGAATTTTCTATACCAAACAAAAATGTTTTATACTTTGATTTCAGTGTCTGCTTTATTTGGAAACTTTCCCCAGGACGTGTCAACGAAAAACGAAAAACGAAACAGAAGTCAAACATCTCGGTTACGTCGTTCACCATCGAGTCAAACGGTGGAAAGTCAATTTTGAATTATTATCCCATTACGTTTTCTATCTTTCAATAAAAGATCGGAGTCATTCCTGTGTCTAGTCGCTCGTTTTTGAAACGGTGACGCCATATTGGCACTGCGGAGCCATTCGGAACCTTACCATAGCGATTTTGAAATTATGAATAAACGTTGAGATTTCGCATCAAAATTTAGAGCAATTTGTCACTCAAGATATTACGACATAATAGTCCGACTTAGAGCCACATACCTTCAGAGGTTGGAGGAGCAGGTGGAGGCTCTAAAGGATCAGGCGCTAAATTTTATAAAGAAAATCAGAACGCCGCTCTATAATTAACAATCCTCGTGTATCAAGAAACTCCGCTTTTAAATTTAAATAAATACAATAGAAAAGTCTCCCCAAAAACGAAAAAAACGAGACAAAAGAAATCTTCTGACGGGGCTAAGCGACCACCTGGCCTTAGTTAACCTATGTATGGTGAAAAAATAAGTAAGTGGAGGATAATGGTTATATAAAACCGGCAAACATCAAACTAATATGAAAAATTAACGATGCTGCAGTTTATGTTGGGAGCTTGCTGGCCTTTCCAAATCCTGTTTTATACTTTGATTTCAGTGTCTGGTTTATATGGAATCTTTCCCCGTGATGTGTCAACGAAAAACGAAACAGAAGTCACACATCTCGGTGATGTCGTTCACCATCGAGTCAAACGGTGGAAAGTCAATTTTACATTATTATCTCATTACGTTTTCTATCTTTCAATAATTCACATTATCTATCAAACTCTATCAAACTCTTCAGCCACTTTGAAGCGATTTTCGACTTGCTTCATAAATGGTCATTTTACAGTGAAATATTCTTACCAGAACTCGTCGGCACGTAAACTTGTGGTCTGAAGGCTACCAATTGTAAATTTTTGACCGGTAAATTATTATCTCATTACGTTTTCTATCTTTCAGTACTTCACATTATCTATCAAACTCTTCAGCCACTTTGAAGCGATTTTAAGTCCTTGCCAAATTTGAGCACCAGCAATAACCTGCCATCAGGTGTTTTTTTGTTTTTTTTTTCGGGACAGAAAAAGTCGGCGAACGGCGAAGGGAAAAAAATTGCCCCGTTATACAAAGACCAAGGACGCCTGCAGATCGCAGGTTATACTACAATCGGCGACAAAATGAGTTGAGGCACTTCGCCCAAAACTGGGCTATTTTACGTTCTATTAACTTCAAAAGGAGGAAATATAGCTTTCCTCCCCCATCCCCTCCGTGCAATGTTGTGCCCTTGTTCTAGCTACCTATAGAAAACAACAAACACCCCAACTTTGAATGGAGGGGACAGGGGAGGGGTG